GTCAGGAAGCTGACGCACACCAGGCCAGTTCTCTTCGCTCGGGGTTCCCAAAATTCTACGCACGGGAATGAACGACCAAGATCAGCAATCGGTTCCGAGAATTAGACAAGAGTACCTAAAACGCTAACCTGAAAATTTTGAAGATTTGGTCTATCTCGGAATCGCCAGGGAACAGGGGCTGACCCTTGCACACCATTTCCGCAAAGATACAGCCTACAGACCACATGTCTATTGCTGTCGAGTAATGCCGAGAGCCTAGAAGAACTTCGGGAGCACGATACCAAAGAGTGACGACCTACAGCTCATAATCAATATTTATAAGCAGACGAAGGCCATGAGTATAGACCTCGTGGGTATAAGTCCTCATAGGAATACCGAAGGCACGGGCTAAACCGAAATCGGCGAGCTTGAGGTTATTCCGCTTGTCGATGAGCAGATTCTGAGGCTTTAAATCACGGTGGAGAATGCGATGCGAATGGCAGTAGAGCAGGCCTGAGGTAAGCTGATGAGTGAATTTCTGTGATCAAATACGTCAGTTCGTTTGTACGCCTGGGGAGTGAGATGAATCAACAAAGAAGAGAAAAAGATAAACTGTGGAGGCTGCGGGTGCGGCGCGCCCAACCACGTGACCCCGACGCGATTAGACATTGGCCACTCAATTAATTGGTCAATTATAACCAATAACGCGACAATGTGCAATCAAGATGATCCCATATGGATCATTTAAGCTGGTGAAGATCATGAACGGTTGTCTGGTCGAAGGCGCGAGGAACCGGCGCGACACAATGACGTATGATCACGCGCAAGACACGCTTATTTGGTGGAGTGTGTGGGGACATGGAGCCGCCGAGAAAAACAATGACATTCAAGACATACCTTAGTAATATCGAGTGAAAGAGGTGGTCCAGTTCCTTGAACAGCTTGTTCCATGTACCTTTTCAGATCGACGTCTAGGAACTCGAAGACCAAGTACAGTTTTTGGTCGGCATGAACAATGTCAAGGAGCCTTGCGCACGGATGGCAGGTCAAATACAGGTCTCAAGTGAAAATGCAAGTACGCACTTGACGATATTGTCATCCTTCAGCTCTTTCAACAGACTGATCTCGCGAATGGCAGTACTTGGCACCCCCTCGTCTTCAGCCTCCAAACGGATTTTCTTGAGAGCAACAATAGAATTGTTTTGGGTATCGCGTGCTTTGTAGACGACACCATAGGTTCCTAAAGATTAGAGGAAAGAAAGAAAAGTGTCATGACAATGGATTGTGGGAGCAGATATATGAGACACGCACCCTCGCCTTAAATGATAGCCGCCAGTAAGTTCCACACCCATATACAAATGTTCATATTTGAATCAATCACGCACCAACTTTCTCGATCTTGGCATAACTAAAGAAAACAACCATGACATTGAGCTACTCGTCGCGTAGTATTGCATAAATGACTAACCGTTCCATGGTTTCTAAAGGCTGTCAAAAGAAGAGAAGGTCACAGGAAAGTGGTGTATGCAGGGTTCACGATGTGCAAACAGTGTTCTTGAAAGATTAAGAGCGCGAAAAGTGCAAGAAAAAAGTGAGGAGGGCGCGATCTTGTATCGTTGTATGGATGTGGAATTATGATGTTTATCACGTAACCGGTCAAATCTGAGACACCGAAATGTCTGGTGATATCTTGCCTCTCTACTTCAACGTCTAGGGTACGAACTGTCAGCGCTGGAAGGTGAGATGGGCGAGATTGTCCGAGCTTGTGGTGGTTGCCAGTGGACCCGTAGAATGGAATACCCAGCAGGTTTCACCGTGGTATTATCGGCAGTTGTATCCACGCGACCACATCCGCGGCCTTTCAACAATGGCTCTCGAGTTCATTTCGATTCTGCTTGCCACAGGCATAGCAGACGCGCCCTACTTGACCATGGACTATTGTTTGGACACCAACGAATTCGAGCGCTCGGAGATCTTTGCAGTCAATACCGGATTACTACCGTGGCACCACTACCAGGGGTGACTGATGGATTGCAGACCCGAGCAATCATTTAGCTCACAATCTACTATTAATTGCACCTCGGACCGACCAAGATAATCCCTTTGACCTTGCTAAAGTGAGTCGAACAACGGGTTCAAAGTTGGCATCGCCCCTACACCTCTTTCGCGATCCTCGTGGAGATTACCGCCATGTTCGACCGTTGCCTTACATGTGACTGACGGCTTACCCAGCACGTCGCAGCCATGGCGGGCCACGGTTTGGGAACTGATATAGGCATCATCTCTCACAAGGCAGTTTAGATGGTTTCAGGTGGTGTCAAGAATTTTACAACTTTGTGCTATACATGTCGCATCTGCGCCATAGTCCCGCAACCACCTGTTATAGTGGATATCCACGACTGCGTGAGTGTATTGCGATCTGTAACTATAATCCATCACAAATCCTCCTTTCTCCATTTCTCTCCCGCCCGAAAGCACCGACGGAGACTAGCTCGAGTCTATCTGCGCCACGGTATAGCTTGGTACAGTCTGTCGCCAGTGGCGTCCCAGTGACAGGCGCTACAGTTGGATCATATGGAGTATCACGAAACTTCACAATCGGAGTCATCAGCTCCGTCAAACATTACACGAGACGTGCCTTCGCAGGCCCTCGCCCGCTAAATTGCAACACTGGCACGAAACGCCCATATTCCAACTGTTGTCGGCAGTCTCATCTCTCCGTCTGATGGAGCTTGCGGCAATACTTCGTAGTAAAGAGCTTCCATGGGCATCTCCGAGAGTATGAAGTCGGAACTTGGGAATCTCCTTCACGGCCTCACAAAGTCGGAGCGTGCCATGGATTCAACGCGCGGCAGCGCGTAGATGTTTAGCCGCGGCCCAGTACTAAGTAGTGAGTCCATTTGTTTGTATATGTGCAGCTGGTCACGACAGCATGCGGTTTTATATCTACGTCAAGAGGAAATGCTCGGATCTAGCAGGTATGCAGGGTCAATTTCATATACAGCTTGTGCGTTACACAGCTACGAAAAAAGCCCCATTGCTTTCTAGCAGAGTTCGCCTCCGATTAGCATATGCACCACACTGTCCAATGCGACCCTGGCCAGATCAATCACACTCATGCATTACCGATAAATTGCCAATGATTCTAAAACGCTCGTGTAACATGTTGTACCTAATATCATGCATGCCAGGTCTGATATTCGTTTGAATTTATAGGATTACACAACTGCAACCCATGAAGCTTTTTAGATGGTGTACAAAAATGGCTGATAATTCTGGAGTCCCATTATTGGCGACCTTAGCCTGTCATAAACTGCCCAGTCTTTTCAGCGGGAAAGCATGGACGATAGCTGAAGCGAATGTCGAAGGAAGCAACTGGGAAATGAGAGCAGTCAGACAATTAAACATCAAGATTCAGCATCTTGCATACTTTCGGCCGGTGCCGTAGCGATCAGCCAGGTCTGGGCCAATTGATACTTTCGTCCTCATGCCGTCGAGCACGCGTTATGTCAACATATTGCCCTGGCCATCGCTCCTCGGCTGATATAACAAATTATCAATATGAGGCGCCGCGCGGGGAGAGCAAGACGTAAACTTACTGGGATCGCGAATATCCACATCCAGCTCTCCATCTGCCCCTATCTCGTCTTCGTCTTCCTCCTGTTCCCACTTGTCTAGGAGGGCAGCATCGGGGTTATTGGCACGGTCGATGGCAAGGTCTTTCATCAGGCGATCCATGGAGTCCGCTTTTACGTCTGCTCGGGCATCCTGTAGAGTCTTTTCTCGGACAGCGCGAGCACGTTCGAGATCTGGGAGGTACAGACTGCATGGCAGGACGATGAGCTGGAATAATACTCAAGGAAACGTATACCTTACGTCTCGTATTCTTCTCTGGACGCCTCCACAGCAGTGAAGAACTCGTCAATCCCGGCTCCTGTCACGCTTGATACGCCAACAGCCTGAAGGGACAATGTCAGAAGTTTCGAACATACTGGATCTTAGTAATGCACCTTAAGATGTTGATAAAACTCGTCTAGAACAAGGCTCATGCTATTCATGAGACTGTTCATGTATGTAGGCTCGCCCTCAGCATCTCTCGTGCCATTGTGGGATGCAAGTGCGGCTTGGAAAGCCTCGAAATCATGCATCCATTCCAAGGCGAAGTCGTGAGGTTGCACGTCGGTCTTGTTGAAGACGAGAATAAAGGGAAGTTTGGTCTTGTACAGAATACTAGGAGTTGAAGGATTAGGAATGACTTAAACGCGTGCTGACGAATCAATCTACCTGCACGCGTAGAGCATATTGGACATGAACGTCGCGGGCGCGGTGGTTCGCGGCGTGTCGATGATATACGCGACGACTGTGGGTAGCGAGGAGGCCACCGCGTCTGTGATGATCGCCCCCGATGCAGACCAAGTGAAAATCTCGATCTGCCCTGGTGTGTCGAGGATTACATAGCTGCACAGCTAGGTAAGTCTCGACCATTTTCAAGAAAAAGCGCAACGCACTCGACAGTCTCTGCTCTCTTCTCCACGAGACTCAGAACCTGATCGAATTTCGTCGTGAACAGATTAAGAGCAGTCAGGATTCCGCCGTTCGGACCGAGGTTGTACCTTTGCAGCACCGATCACTCAACAAAACGCGTCTGGTAAAAGGGCAGGAGCGAGAAGCCACACACTGCTTCATAACTTCCTGATAGTTCACCGTATCCCTGATATCGATGTTGGCCTCAAAAGGTAGATGGGTAACGGCTGGGTCGAGATTCAAGATATAGGGCGGGGACGGTGGAGAGAGTGAGTGTAAATGGGAGTTAATTCGCTGCACAAACGTGGATTTGCCTGCCCCTGCCATGCCGATGGTGATAATGACCATCGGCTTTTTCTTGGACGCGGAAATCGAGGAGTCCATAATGGCAAAAGCGAGAAAGCAGACGAAGATGTAATGCCGAGATTGCGAAGCAGAAGAAGCTGGACAGGAGACGGTTGCAAATATTAGGACAGAAAGATGGATGTCTACCGTCAGCGATTATGGGGTAGCGGTAACCTGCGGTCTTCCCATGGCCGCGCCTCGGGTTCGACTCCCGGTGGTCGCACATGATCGAAAGTGAATTTTTTGCCTCTTGACCTCTCCTTGCGGCTACAACAAATTCAAGTCACGGCCGATAACCTTTTCTAGTACGCTGACTGATATGATAGGTTTATGTTTCTGAACGCAGATCTTGCATATTCTCCGAGGTCTTTGGTTCCTGCTACTCCTTACCGTTCTTGACCCCTAACATCCGAATTGAAAGCTAACGCATCTCACGATGTTGAGTCTCGACCTGTCTCGACGCCGTCGACGATCACATATGTCGTGACTTTTTAGATCATTGCATGCAGCATGCTGCGGCGCAGCATGGTACAGGTACTTATGCCCAAGACTTCCTGATATCTGCCCCACACCTCTTCGAGTCTTGCGCTCATCCAGTACAATGTGGTTATCTGTCATCGCAACTTCCTACTTTTTTGCTGCTGTTCTGGCCAAGAGCACACAGGGTTTACTCCAAGCAGATCATAAATGGGCCAAAGTCATCACACCTGGGCTGTCAAAGCACATCGAAAAGGCCGTTGATAATTATCAAGTACCAGGGTTATCCGCTGCGTTTGTTAGAAAGGATGGAACAGTGGAAATAGGTGCATGGGGGAAGAGGAGCGAAGATGGCGACCTGACCACACCCGATGTACGTACAGCAATCTGGGGCTACCATCTCGATTGTGATGGTATGTTGAAGTGCTGAGCTTCTTGTTTCTAATCACAGACGTTGTACTACATCGGATCCTGCTCTAAAGCCTTTGCCGCAGCTGCGATGGGCATTTTGATGAGCGATTTCGAGCACGGACGGAATACAACTGCATTGCCACCTGGCGTGACTACCTTCAATTGGAAGACGAAAGTTAAGGATTTACTCCCCGCTGAATGGGCTTTGCAAGATGAATGGGCATCTGAAAAGGCCACTGTGCGAGATATATTAGCTCATGTTTCAGGGCTGAGCAGGTGCCTGTTTAGCGCGTATCATCACTCTCTTGCTATCTCATCTACGCCAACAGACACGAGTTGTCATACAACTCTTCCAACACTCCGAGCGAGGTTGTCTCGAGTCTCCAGTACCTCAGCCCCACCTATGAATTGCGAGAACAGTTCTCTTACAATAATCAGGTACGTGTCTAGGAACCCGCGCCTCAGCATCTGCTCATTTGGCCATCCCTAGATGTATGTCGTAGCAGCGCACATAATCTCCACTTACACTGGTTCATACACACGATTCGTCAAGGAACGCATATTTGACCCCCTGAATATGACCTCCACAACGTTTTCTCTTTCGGAGGCTCTAGATTCGGGTGAAATGACGCAGACTTGGGGCAGTCTTGCTAACGGTAGACGGATACCCCACTGGATGGATGACGCTGCAATGCAAATGATTGCTGGCGCCGGGGGAATCATATCCAACGTCGTAGATATGGTCTGTTCAAACTCCCCTATCTCTGCAAGACTGGCCGCTGACATCACATCTAGGCAAAATGGATGGAGCTGCTGCTTAATTCCGGTTATAATCCTCGTACCAACGTTACAGTCATCCCTAAAGCCGCTTTCGACCATATTACTTCTGCTCAAGTCATTGTATCTGGCATACCCGGCGTATCTGGGTATGGTGTGTCCGGGTATGGTGCCGGTTGGATTCGTGAAACGTTCCTCGGACGAGATGTAAGCCCGTCCCAGAACTGTGCTGCAGCTCTGGGGTGCTGACAAGCAGTTTAGATAATCTGGCACAGCGGCGGACTTCCTGGATTCCATGCGCAACTAGCTTTTCTTCCAAGCGAAAACATCGGTCTTATTCTACTGTTGAATAGAGATGCCAGAAATCAGGCTGTGTTAGACATACAGCAGCGTATTCTCGAAAGTGCTCTCGGAATTAAACACACTTCGAATCAAATGTAAGTCTTTGAATGGCCTTGGCGTACTTTCCCCGCTAACAATCTGCTCCAGCAAAGTGATGGATCTGGCCAGCGACACCACCAACATTGTTTTTCCAACGCAAAACGAGGCCACTCTTACATTGGAAGTGGACGTGCATAAGTACTCTGGAACATATACCAACCCAGCGTACGGCAATATTACGTTCTGCGGTCCCAATACCTGTTCGACATATTGTGACAGAACTCGTGCAGATTTCGCTCCATTGCCTCTGGGTACTCTCCCCCAGCTTCTTGCTACATGGCCAACGTTCTGGACCTCGCATACGAGAGCTATATTCCTCGACAAAAACAGGATAGCGATGGAGTTTTCCACACTCTTCCCCAATGGCTATGGTGCGGATATTTCGCCGTTCAACATGGTGTTTGATATGGGTCAGAGCGAGTTCTTTTCCAATGCCGGAGAAATCACTGGATTTCACCTCAAGGTAGATACGGACGTAGCCGATGCATGGTTTCAAAAGGTTCTGTGATATCCTGGCTATTGCTCGCCAAAAGAATGTACGGGAGCGGGGTAGCTTAAGTGATTTAGGGTACGACTTTGTCGCGCAACTCCCCCAATTGAAGTTGCTTGTTGATCGCCCAAAGTTTGTTATTATTCTGAACACATGTTGCAAAGTACCGCTGTTAGATGCGCATTTGGTGACGATGCGTGACGTGACAGACGCGTTTGATCACAGTCACGCAACCACCAATTTCTGCTTCTGCCGCCTGCGATCACGTCCATTCTATTTCACACAAATCATGCCACCGCGTGCCGGTCCTTCACGCTCTCAGAGAGCGACGCAGCCGTCGCAAAGTCAAGCAAGAGCGAAGCGAGGATCGCGTAGAGATCCCGAAGAGGACGACGATGAGGAAGAGCAAATGGAACAAGATGATGACGAGGAACAGGATGTCGACATGGATGCCAGTATTGGGGCTGGAAGCAAAGAGAATGAACTGGAGCGCAAAGCCAATGACCTCGTTAGGCTTGCTCTCTTTGTAGAACAGAGAAGAATTCCTCTCAAGAGGGATGAAATTAGCAAAAAAGGCGCGTCAACTGAATTTTGAGCGCAGACAGGAGTATTGAACAGGACACTAGTGATGGGATCGAGCTCTCGCGCCTTCAATACTGTCTTTGATTTAGCACAGAAGACCTTGCGCAAAACATTCGGCATGGAGCTTGTTGAACTTCGCTCGCGTGCGGAAATCCACGCTGAAAGTAATGCAACTGGTGCGAACGAGGACTTGGAGGAGGCAAGCAAGGCTACAGGTGTTAAGAAGAAAGGTAAGCTCCGTCTTTGACGTGTATGCTTAGATCTGACATCCTATGCGCCAGCCGCTGCTGCTGGTTCGAAGACCTACATCCTCCGCTCAGTCATGGATCCATTCCTAATCGAATATGCAGCCTTGACGGACGCGAATATCCTCGAAGAAGAAGCCGTGGATACACCTGATTCTGATGATGATGATGACGACGGACTGGGGCTAAAAACATATGGCAGCATAATCTCGTGGAGCCAAGCAGACCAGCTAGGATCTATTGGCGTGTTGTATGTCATACTAACCCTTATCCTCGTCAGTGGGCGAGTGATCACCGAAAGTAAGCTCTTTTCTCCATGTTCATTCATACATTGGGCTAACAATCCGCTTCTATAGTGGACCTTCGCTCAAACCTCAAACGGATGCGCCTTCCTCCAACCGCCAATGTGACTTTTAACTCCCGGTCGACACACAAGCAGATGACAGTGGACGCTTTCTTGGGGCTGCTTTCACGCCAAGGCTACATCGAGCGCCACCGCATTGGAGACACGGGCAACAAGAAGGCCGGGGCCGGGGGCAAGCGCGGTCGCGCGCCCGCAGCCACCCAAGGAAATGCAGAAGATGGTGCTACCTTTGAGTGGCGGTGGGGCAATCGGGCGCATAGTGAAGTTGGTGAACAAGCCATTGCAAGCTTTGCTGCGGAGTTCATGGTTGAAAGGATGGGTGGCCATGATGAAGAGGAAGAGGGTGGTGCCAACAATCAAAGACGGGTGGCCGCCAAGAATGCTGCGTTGGAAAAGATGGCTAAGGGCATCAGCAGGGCCGCTGGAGGCGAACTGTCAGAGATCAAGTAAACCCTGGCGATGACTTATTATACATTCGTCATGTTTTGGATACCAGTGAGTTGTGATGTACATTAGTCAAGGGTGATACAAGTTCCTAGTTACTTTGAACTTTCGTGAATGAACCCAGCAAGTACTACTGCACCACTGAGATCTTAAAACGGACGAGCAAGGTGGCACCCGTATGCTTCCCCTTCATGTTGAGAAGACGAACAAACCTCCAGCCTTGCTGCAAATGATCGAGCCTGGCACAAAATGTAACTAAGTGCTCGTCTTTCAGCAATTCAGAGCGAAGAATCATCAGTCTAGGACAAAAAGTCAGTGCGAGGTCGGAAGGTATGAATCGTGCGCGTACCTGACGAAAGTCAGATCCTCTGATTCGAATTCCCACTCGAACTGCTCATTCCACAAAAAATCAGCACCGACTTCAGGGGCGACATCTTTGGCTTTGACATGCTGCGACTTCCATTCTCGGTCCCCTTTGGAGTGGAGGAGTTCCGCGCGCACATACGCCGAGAAGCTGTTGTGCTTCTCGGGCGGAGGAACTAATTGGACGAACTGTGTTAGTACAGCTATGCATCAAATGCTTGTAAAGTGTTACGGACTGGAGCTAGCCCCAATGATGTCGACGACCACCTTCAACTTGCTAGGCATAGGCTCCCCCATATTGAGCATATGCGGAGGCTTCAGCACATAGCCCGGGCTACCCACGAACATCCCCTCGTTGATCTGCATCCCTTGATCATAGTGCTGCCAATTGAGACTGGCGATGTGTGATCCGTTGTTCCAGAACTCCAGCGGGTTGAAGTTGTTGGAGCGAATGCGCGTCCCGTTCGGATAGATGCGGCGCATATTCACCTGTGCGTGTTTGACAAGGTCTTCGAGAGCATGCGGGACGAGTTTCATGAGAGATCCCTCCGATATGTTGATCAAGAGATGTTCAGGAGGAGGGACGAAAGCTAGCGAAGTAGTATGAGCACCTGGAAGTTATGGAAGAA